TAGTGACGTAGACATGTGGGGGCGTGTTAGAACGAGCCGTTTAACGAGGTATAAAAGTCTTAACTTTTATAAAGAATATCTCTTTGGATTTGAGACTTTAGTCTGTGCAACTTTACAGATCTTCTTTATGCACCAAGAGCTTGTAACACTCCAAAGAGAAAGGAACAATTGAAATCGCATCATATGAACCCATTTAACAACAATTTTATACAAGTTCAGTAAAGCAATAAGTGACTTACATTTTAAACACAATATTGCTTGTTTTTGCTCTATTTTGCTAACGAATATAGTTCTAAACAAAGATCACAGCACTGTTTTGCGTCTCTGAGCAAAGGACGGTGTTTACTTATATGAGCTTCGAAGAACCAAATAATCCAAGATCATGCCAAATCGTCAACAATCAAATCCAGCTAACTGAGTTAGCGACGTAGAAAGAACGGGCCCCAGCAAGCTCATGCAAATCATCACCACAGCTTTCTTTAAGCATAGTCCAATCCATGCAATCATAACACTCTTGTAAAAAGAGCATATAATCTCCAGTCCAAACCTTTACATCTTGTTTTGTACTCTCTCTCCTTAAAACAGTCTTATATGTAGGCAATAAAAACACTCAGTTGTGATTGGCCGAGCCCAATCACTGACCTATAACACAAATTTAGTATTTTATTCCATCTGGGCAGGTGACATATTAATAATAGTGTGTAAGTGCTTTTTTCAGCGACTCAGGATTAAAATCGCTCAATATAAAACTCAGTACTTCAGGTGAAATCGACTGTACTTTTTGTACGACCTCAAAAATGGTACTAAAAATAATAAAAATAATACTGCCGTTGTCAACATACATCAGTGGCAATGAACTCCTCCACGTCATTGATACTCTTGACAGTGATTTCACCCTGGCTGATCATTGGGTAGTCATAAGGGTTGGCCATGTCCTCAATTCTGTCAAACAATGGGAGGATTCATTGGGAATATTTCATCTTATTTTACTGTAACAGTCTGTAATGAACATTTTTTTGACTTTTTTGTACACACATTTATACACTATTTAAGTGAAGAACTTTGACCTCTGAAAACTCAAGCACAGGAACACATTAAATAGCGTTTTTTTTATCTGTTCAAGCACAGTAACACATTAAATAGTGTTTTATTATCTGTTGTACTTTCCCACTGTGAGTTTTGACATTAGCTTTGCCACCCTCTTTACTAAAAAGAATACCTTTCAGGTACATCTCATCTGCATCTGTCATGAAGAATGCTGATTTGTCATCAAAGCGGGTTTTCTGAGCCTTGATTCGCTCTCTTTCTGGCTGCCAGAGATAAATGGCCGCCGAGCCGAAACACTCCATTTCACCATCTCCCATGATTGTACTTTTCTGTTAAAACATGTTAAAAGGTACACATTTTTAGGTGTCAAACTTACTTAAGTTATTAATTAATTTTTTGCATTAACATAGTATTTTCATTAAAGATGCAGTATATCATTACGTGTACGTCCAAGCTGCTCACCTTTTTGTTTTCAAGGCCAGAAAGGTTTCTGCTAGGTTCTGTAAAATAAATACATGGACACAGACTATTTATTGGAAATTGTTTTCTGTTAATATATAATCTCATGTATGCCCTTTTTCTTTTAATGATATCAAACATTCCTATTAATGGCAACCAAATGTAACAGTAAAAAAATGTATTAATTAAAATGATCAATTTAAATTAAATTAATAATTTTGGCACAGCAGAGTCTTGACTCACCTTCTAGTGGTTGGCAGTCCCTGAGGTCCAAGATGTCTCTTTTTATATAGACTCAAGATGTTGTCTCAGCAGTGCAGCCACTGTATTTGGTTATAATGGGCTGGGTTTTACTTTCTATTTATGATGAATGTGTTCTGTTCTAGTATACAGTTACACACCCTCATAGAGTGATTGATAAGAGAAGTCAATGGAATGTCTTTGCATTTAAATAATTTCACTTCACACAAGATGAAAATGTGTATACTGTAAACCAAATTTTTACTTAAACAGGACAGAACAGTTTTTGAATTTAATTTTTATTTAAACAGGACAATGTGTTTTTTTTCACAACTTGAACCATGGAGTGTAAAACATATTCAGCAATAAAAAGCAGGAAAGAGAAGGTTAAAAAGGACCAATGATCAATAACGATACAACAAATTTCATTTGCCCTCATATTTTGTTTTCTTTAACAGAAAATTGTTGGTAGTTTATTTCGTTGTTGCCAAAATTTCTCTTTCTGCACCTATTGCCTGAACTGAAAAAGTATGCTTTTAAGTATGCTGTACCCTATGGATTGGAA